GTGGCACCTGGAGCTGCCGTCACCAAACCCGGGGTCCTGCTCCTGCTGCCTCCACCGAGGACGGGGCACAGCCCTGCAGGGGCAAGAGCACTTACCCAGAGAGCTGCATGTTGGACTCAGTGTAAAAAGAAAACCAGACAGGAGGAAAAAGATCTACAGCTACAAAAGAACAAGCAGGGTAAGGAAAGGAAACAGCACTGAAATGATCTGGAAAAGGAGGGGGAAAAAATAATCCCTGCAGTTTCCTCCTTTTGGACAATCCTCAATATTTTTCTTTCTTCCCACACTGTCCTACAGTCTAGAACTTCCCCTTTTGTTAGTGCACAAAAACCAGCTGGGAAGAACTTAGAGGGAGTAGGGGAAGCAGCAATGGAAAGAAAGGGTTCCCACTGGTGCTGCAGGAATACACAGGAGGGGCATTTCAGCAGGGAAAAAAAAACACACTAAAGAAAAGGGGAAGAGGGAGATAAAACCCATCTGTAGGCTGCACCTCAGCCCCGAGGGAGCAGAGCCCTGACCCCCCACCAGCCTCTGCAGAAACAGGCACCACAGCCCAAGGTGTCCCCGAGTCTCCCTTCAGTCACCCGGGCCAGAGGGATAACAAAGAAAGTGTCCAAATATTTTATTCTTCACAAGTTACATTAACCACATATTACTTTATGGAGCATTTACAAATCTGTGTTTTTCTTGATATTAATCTTCAGCTACACCTGCTCACTCACACCACCAGCTCTCCTGAAAGGGCCTTTTCCACCCCAGACCAGACACTTGTCGCCCAGCGGCCCGGCCCTGAACACGCCCTCCCCCACCACAACCCAGTAACTACCACCAAAACCATTCTGAGGTCGACATAAAACTCTCTGGCCTCCACCAGTGACTTCTAGAGGAACTGGCCAGAGCCCTCCATCGCCCAAGGAAGGGCACAGGTGACTCGAGGGGCAGAGCTGCCGCTCGCTCGAGCCTCTCCCCCACCACGCCGAGGCACAGCCGCCCCCCGCCCCGGAGCAGCAGCCCCTCCGTCGCTTACAACCAAGAGGCATTTTTATTCCTTCCTCTCTACCCAGGCACCCCCTACTCCTACCAGTAGCACAGCCAACCAGGTTGATTACTTACATGCATAAAAGACAGGTTAAAAAAGCAGAAGAAAAACAAAAACCCGACCTTTTAAACACCAAAAAACACCATATCCTTCTTACTGTCCACCTGACTAGTTCACAGACTGGATCATTCCAACAACATAGCCATAGTTACTAAACACTAGACAAAAGTTGTGTCAGGACTGAGGCAAGAACCCCGAGCAGCACCCCGAGAAGCGGTGGCGGGTTCCTCCTGGCCAGGCCTGACCCCCCCCACCCCCCCCCACCCCCCAACCCACTTACACTGACCTTTGAGAGGTGAGCACCGAGCTCCCGGGTATTACCGGCGCTGGCAACGCTGCGACAGCCCTGGGTGAGAAATGCAGTCACTAAATCAACACAAACCCTGCTCCTGGGGGCAGGAAGATCCCGTGATCTCCTGCGCCTTCCAACGCTACCGTCCCGTAACGGGCAAGAAGATCCAGCGGGGCAGGACAGGGGTGAGGGAGGACGGGGACACTTCTCTGAAGTGGCACGTGGGCAGGGAGGTGAAGAACATCCCGTAGTGACGAGTGCATCGTTCTTCAAAAACGGGTTAAAAAATTCCCATGTAGCAAATCACATAGAAATGTAACAGTGTCGATAATTTTCTGAGTTTCTGTAGAAAGACGTCGCTGCTGGTTTGTGTTCAGCTCGCTGGATCCTCCAGAAGAAAAAAAAAAAACTAATGGAAAGGCTGAGGGGGAGGAGCAGGGACGAAGACTAGGAAAGAAAGCGTGAATCTGTCTTTAACATGCAGGTCAGAGAAAGTATTTTGTTTTTCCATTATTTCTTTTTTTTCCCCCCTCTTGGACACTTCCAACTCAAGAAATGGCAACACGCACATGGCTTCCAGTTTTTAAAGCAAAGAACAGAGTTCCCAGGGACTGCGCTGCAGAGACAGGAAGACAAGACATTCGCAAATTCAATCTCTAAGAAAACAAAGTCTCCCTTTAACCGCCACGAACGCACGACCATGAAATTCCCCGTCAGTCACAGCGAGGGGAGCTCCTACTCGGCCCTCCTCAGGGCTGAGCCTGGCAGCCGAGGCAGACACCCCAGCCTGACAGCGGGGGAGACACCCCAAACCGCTGAACTGAGGCCACAAGACCGACCTCGCAGCCAAATCCATCAACTCCCCCTCGGCTGGCAGCGGCACAGCAGGCCTCGGCCTCACCTGGAGGGGCCACT